ATAATAGTCATGACTATCATGCTTAACACTTTGGTTGAGTCAAGAGAGAAAACCAGTAGGTGTGTCATAAAGTCACACAAAAATTTAATAGTTCAAATAATCCTTAGCCCTTCTGAGAAACTAAAGGTGGGAAATATTTAGTATATACTTCTGTAATAAGGTGGCTTCCACCCATTATAGTGATAACAATTTAGCTCATGCATTCAAAAATTGCTATTATTTTTGATTACTGAAAGCCAGATTCAAAGTATATTCTTGTTCAATAGACCAATGAAACTACAAATACTGCATTCCAAAATATTTAGTGTATGTATACTTTTGCCAGTGAGGTATGTTTCTTATAAGCACCCATAGAGGGTTCCTGGTTCCCCCTCCCCCCATTGAACCAGTCTGTACCTTTTAGTTGGGGAATTTAATCCATTAACATTCAATATCATTATTAATATGTGTAGACTTATCCCTGTTATTTTGTTACTATTATTTACCCCTAATCGTTTCATGAGCTCATCTATTTAGTTCTTTTAGTTTCCCTTGTGTAATATTTCCTTAAGTATTCCCTGAAGAGCTAGTCTAGTTTAGGTTAATTCTTTCAGCTTTTGTTTATCTGGGAATGATTTTATCTCTCTCTCTCCAATTTGAAGGTTAGTCTACCCAGTATAATACTCTTGGCTGAAATTTTCTTTTAGAGTTTTAAATATGTTTTCCCATTCCTTGCATGCATTGTTTCAGTTGAGAGGTCCTATGGTAGTCTAATGGGATAACCTTTGTAAGAAATGACTTGGCATTTCCTTCTTGCCAATTTTAGAATATTGTCTTTATCTTTGAATTTTACCCATTTGGCCTGAAGTGGTTTGGAGAGGATCTTCTTATATTAAATGTATTTGGTGTTCTTTGTATTTCCTGGATTTTGACGTCTGTATGCTTCTCTAAATTTGACAAGTTTTTAGCTAAGGTATCATGAGATTTCCTACTCCTTTATTTGTCTCTTTGCCATCTGGAATACTCATTACATAGATATTCAGCTATTTAATGGTGTCTAAGATTTCCCTTATGTTGTCCTCATTTTTAATGGTCATTTTTTCATTCTTTTCAGTTGCTTGGACTAAGTTGGAGGTTTTGTTTCAAGATCAGAGATTCTTCCTTCTGTGTGGTCTAACCTACTGTTGATACTTACAAGGGAGGTTTTGATTTCCTGCATCATTTTCTTTATCTCCAGAAGTTCTGTTTGATTCTTTTTCAAAGTCTTTCTCTTTATAAACTTTCTCCTTCAAGTAATTGAAAGCTTTTCTCATCTCCTGGAATTAGTTGTTTGTTTCCTCTTGCATCTCATTAAGTCTTGTTACAATGAATATTCTGATTTTTTTTCCTGACATTTCTGTGATTTCTTGTGTTGTATCCATTTTGGTGAGGAGTTATTGTGCTCCTTTGTAGGGGGAGGTATTTCCTGTTTTTTCTTTTTTCATATTTCTTAGGATTCTGCTTTGATTTTTAGTCATTGGTGATACACTCATTTCTTCCTAGTTCTTTGGAGTAGGTTTCTGCAGCTGTGTGCTTGCGTACTTGCCTATGATGTGAGTTAGCTCTGTGCCAGTCTCCCTCCTCTACTGTGGGTGGAAGTGTGGTATCCACAGTGAGAGTTTGGGGTTCAGATTTTCAGAAGGGAGTTTCTCTCTTTTTACTGCTAGGAGGGTGGATTGTGGAGAGAGAATTCGCCCAAAGCTTCACTGTCTTCAAGTGTTTATTTCCTGTAATAAACACTTGAAGGTTTCGGTATACCCGAACCTCTCTGCTTCCATTGTGCCCGGAGGCTGAGTTGGACAAGTAGAATGTAAGGTGGTCTATATTCCAGACTGCGCAGAAGTCTTGATAATCAGTTCAGTTGGGTAGCGTTTGCTTCCTATTTGCTCCTTCTAACGCTGGACTGCAGGAACCAGGTGGTGGTTGTTGAGGGCTGGAATAGCCCCTCCTCCTGCACTCCAGATTGGTCGTTACCAGGGTATCTTTGATAATCAACTTTGGCTGGGCGGCCTATGCTTACCTGTTGCTCCTTCTGACTGTGGAACCCCAGGGACCAGGAGGTAGTTGTTGAGGGCTGGGGCAACTTTTCCACCCACACACTACTCTGGGTGGGGCTCTTTGGTGAGCAGCTCAGGCCCAGCATCTTTGCTTCCCTGCTGCTCCTGGATGGTTCACGTGCAGGGTGTAGCACAGACAGGCACAACTCCTACCTCTCCATGCTGGAACCTATTAAACAGTTCTTATCTCCAACCATTTTATAGATACTTAGCTACAATGAAGACTATCTTTTGTCCTTTCATTCAAACTTTACAGAGAATCTTGCCATTAAAATGGTTAGGAAAAGTAAAGACATGGTAACATAGAAGATGGAGAGGAAAGTGTTTGTGTTAACTGCTAGTGTAAAACTGAACAATCTGACATCCATCTATCCCCACGTGACATTTATTGGAGGTGTTTCTCTTAAATTTAAAAAAAAAAAATTCTCCTTTAAATGATGTATTCCCTAGACTACGAGGAAGGAGCTACTTCTATTAAAGGAAATTTATGTCTATGGTCACTGAAATAGAGGAGAAAGTCTTACAGCCCTTCCCCATGCACCTCTGTCTATTCCAGGCCTGTCTTTTGGGAGTCGTAGGACCAGATATGTGAGCTAAATGGAAATGTAGCAAAACAAAGTTCCATCATCAATTCATGCTCTTAAAGTTACGGAAGTCCCCAGCCTCTGTTAGACTGTTCCTGGGGAGAAAAGCGTCTTTGCATTTTGAGGGCTACACATAAAATCTGGGTGTTTTTCTCTGTTCTGATCCACACCTCATTACACTCTTTAATGACCTGTATTAAAAATATCAATTGAAGCCTTACAATAAAGGCTGCTGGTTGTATTTATTTACCTTTGAAGTTCTTTGGTTATTGACATCACTGCAACATGCTCACTTCCTTTCTTTCTTACTTTTTTTTCCCTCCAGGGTGTGTGTGCACTCACCAAAGAGAAACAGACTGAGAGAGAGGGAAAGTGAGAAATCACCCTCTAGGGGGAATGGCTACACCACAATTCCTTCTTCTCCAGTATCCTCTGGGATTTGGGGTACATACACACATGCACCCTGCATGATTTTCAAGCCATCAGGTCCAAGAATCAAACTGTACAGTAAACCATGTGGGATCCAGCCACTTTAACCTCCATACCATTTGCTGGCTCAATACTACTTCTCTTTATAAGAGGAACTGGAATATAATATCTGAAGATTTGTTAATGCAAGTATAGTTTAGAAGTAAGTAACAGATACACTTCTGCCAAACTAGAGAGGCAACATCTCATGGGGAAAACAGTGGTTGTGTGACTGTGGAAAAGTTATTTTGCCTCTTGTGAAGTGAGAGGATTAAATATGATGAAGTCTATGACTGCTTTCAGCTGCAAGTTTGAATATGTGCTATGACTCTAAATAGATCTCTTGAGTGTGATCATCCTGGATAACATAATCACCTGAACAACTTTCTCCGCTATCTACTTTCAGGGTAATTTAAAAAGTTAATTCTGATCTCAGTTACTTCAGAAAGATGCTCTGCACGTATAAGACAGGACTGGAGAATCAAGCCAGATGCCCGTTTGAGGAGAGCTCCTCCTAATGACTCAGAAATCCATGGCTCTGCATTTGTATAGAGGGATTGATCTGCTTATGAGATTACTGCTCAAATATAACTTGGCTGTTTTGGATGTTTTTTAACCCCCAAGTTCATTCTCCTGTGTTTTTTTTTTTTTTTAATTAATGTTTTCATTTTAAACATCTGGCTACCCCTTCCAGGTATACACTATATGGTATCCAGAAGTATCCCTGGCCACTACCCAAGAGCTGCTAGTAGATTGCTCCGGTCCCAAATAAAGTGACCAAACTGTCTCCAGATATTGTTATAAGTACCCGGAAGGCAAAATTTCTCTGAAATGAGAACCACTAGTATATACCTTATCTTTCTCTCCTTCTGAATTTTCTTTCTTGAGCATGAGAATGAGTACTCAGAAATTAATATTTTATTGTTATTGCTAGTATTATTCTGAACATTACTATTATCTTTTACTGGGTGATCAGAAAAGTCATGATCTATTTTTCTGTTTTTCTATGCAAAAATGTGTCACAACGTTTACAGACAACCCAACATTTATAGGAGGTGACTTCAAAAGTTCATGTAAAATAGAATCAAAGAATGAGTTTATTTTAGTGCAAAAACTTGAAATCTACTCCTAGTTTTTTCATACTACGTGTTTTCTACAAATGTTTTGAAGATCCCTTGTATAAGGTTTCACAATGTACCAAGTGTTCCCACCCACATTATCTGTGGAGATTAATGCATAGCAGCTCATTTTCTACAACAAACTGGAAGAAGAAAGCGCCTTTTCTGTGATCGTCCTCGTCCTCCTTTTTACTATGTTTGGAATCCTGCGTGATTGACAAAAGGTCCTACCGTGAAGAAGATAGATACTGCGAACAAGCAAATGTAAATGGTAACTCGCACTGTCTTTTTAAGAGACTTTTTTTTTTTTTGGAGAGATTTTCACTGTAGGGCGTGTGCGCTCGCCAGACAGACAGAGAGAGACAGAGAGACAGAAAGCGAGAAATCACCCCCCAGGGGGGATGGTCACGCCGCAATCCCTTCTCCTCCATTCTCCTCTTAAGAGACATTTTTAAAAAGATGTTCAATCAACTTGAAATGACGTCCTTCTCCACTTCATCTGTTGGCAGAATCCACATGCCACACAATACACATGTAAGAATACATATCTACAACTAAACACAAGTGTCATCAGTGAAGCCACCTGACTGCCCTGGGCCCTTTGGCTCCTTAAAGGTGTTCTGAAAATAGCAGCCTTTGGCCTAAATGGACTGCTCAGTTTTATTACGCTGCAGTGACTGAAAACCAGGTGACATTTTTGAGAAAGAGAAAATAACATTTCCCCCATATTTCCACTTCCTCCCTACCCCTCTTACCTGCTTAAGGATTTCAGCAGCTGTTTCATGTGAACAATCAAATATCACATAGAACTCCTTGCCCTTCTTCATCTCCTTGAGTAAAGGCTTGGCGTCTTTATTCCCAGAGGGCAGCTGGCGGATTTTGATTTTAATGTTATATCTGGAGGGAGCTTTGATGAGCTCTTGCAGACGAATTAGACCTAGAAAATGACATCCAGTCATGCAACAGAGACTGTTTTGCTGAAAGAGTATTGTTTATTGCCATTTACAGTCAAACTCATATTATTCCCCAAATGTATCAAGCAGCCACCTACCTAAAGGTTACACTATTGACTTCCCATTTGTCATTTCTCTTTCCGAGGTGGATTATACTGATATTTCTGTGGGTATGTGTGGTATATGAAGTGCAATTTTCCCAATTGCATTTTGAATTTATTTTGAATTTAATTGTCCTTTCCAGCTTTCAGCCAACACTGCAAATCCTTACTAAATCTCATCTACAATGCTAAACTCTCATAAACAGAAAGTTTTATTGAGTCCTTCCTGTGGTACAGTGGTAATGCAATACTCCACAATGCTGGACATAGCTGGAAGGGTACCAAGGTCACAGCCTTAGGTCTCCTGCGCATATGAGGGACATGTGTTTGCCTGGGATCCTGGCTGCCAAGGCTGAAGGCTGGATCATGAAGTGAAGACACTATTAGGGGTGTCACTTTCTATGTTAATGTCTCTCTCTCTCTTTCC